AATCAATGATTCAAAGCAACAAAGGCAAAGGAAATATGGACTAGTCACTACAGGAAATTGGGGATTTAATGACGTTTAATTTACGGCGTTTTATTAAACATCACTGTTTCTAACAATTAGTGGCGTTTTTTAAACGTCGCAATTGCTATTAAGTATAACGGTACCGTTTTGTTAATTGAAGACGTTTAAAATGTGCCTCCAAATCATGTCTCTCTTCATACCCACTTCCGTCTCTCCAAACCTTTATTTTGAAAACCCTATCTTAAGCACCGCCACCTCTTTTCTCGCTCACTCAAATCTCTCACTCACTCTCTTGCTCTCACTCAAATCTCTCTCGATTCTTTTTCAGTTCAGTCATTCTTCTTCAGTTGGGTGATTCATCTCAGGATTGCGATTTCGAAGTTCGATTTTGAGCACGGCTTCGTGATTTATCTCCGTGGATTTGGAAGTCTTCGTCTTATTCCATTAGAGGTTGGTTGCTCTCTCTTTCTCTTACTCAAATCTCTCTCGATTCTTCTTAAGTTCAGTGATTCTTCTTCGATTCTTTAGTTTGGTGATTCATCTCAGGATTGCGATTTCGAAATTCGATTTTGAGCACAGCTCCATGATTTATCTCTGTGGATTTGGAACTCTTCGTCTTCTTCGATCAGAGGTTAGTTGTTCTGTTTGTGATTTATCTCTGTTCATGAATAAATGAATGGGCCAAAGGCCAGTTTGACACGAATAACAGTTGGACACGAATGATAGTTTGATACGAATAACAGTTTGACATGAAAGTATGAATGGGCCAAAGGCTAGTTTGACCTGAATGATACTAATGAATTGGGCCCGAGGCCATATGATGTGTTTGGAACCGCAGTTACTTAACTTACATATGTCTATGTATGTATGTATTAGTTAGAAGTATAAATTAGGCCCAAGGCCGTTGATGTATATTGTTCCAATGTATATCCTTTATTTGATATTATTCACTGGGCTTTCGCTCACGCTTATTCATGTGTTTGTAGGTGAGCCAAGAGAGGTCCAGACCCAGCCTCAATAAAGTTTGTGTGGAACAACTAAGGTTTTGAAGAGTCAGCCCTTGCGTCTCACGCACGAGACACGTCTTTGCCCCTTTGCCATTCTATACTATTTTGTCATGTTGGCGAGAACTTTGGGTTACGTTCGTGTATAGTTTTGTTTGGCTGACTTAGATTTGAATGATCCTGTCTGTACAGAACTTTATGTTACTATACTTTCTGCTGTGAGTTATTAACATATGTAAATGTGGAATGTTATGATGTGCATATAAGCACAGCTCTATGGACAATATTTTAAATTTGCTTCCGTTCGGCCTCTTTACTCTGATGAGTTTTGTCTTATTTGGTTTGAGGCCATAGGTAATCTATTGATTACTGGCCGGTTATGGCCTTAACCCATAAGGATGGGTTCGAGTTGTGACAACTTGAATGTGATTAATTTATATAATGAAATTAACATTTTTGTGTTAGTGTTTGAGGAGAAAATATAAAAATGACAATTGATAATTAGTGTAGAATAATACATGTGATTCTCTATAGGCACTCGATATTTTTTTTCAAATTGTTCGTTGGGGGGCCAATCCAATGAGACTTGTATATTGCTTTACAAGTAACCGCTACATATGAAAAATTCTTCACACTGGGCAAAGGGGCATGGCACCTGATAGTCTAAAAGTAAGTCCGTCCATCATTATAAGCAATTGTACAACTTATTTGAAGTAAACATATTTAACATCACATATATAAAGGTAACATGTTTAAATATTAACACTCACAAAGATAACATATTAATCCATTTGCCACACACTCAATACGATCTAATGCTACTCATTAATATTTAAACATCTAACAAAATTTCAAAAATAAACAAATTTTCATTGAATACCAAAATATTTTTTTTTTGGGTGAATACCAAAATATAATCTAATGGTTGTAATAAAATATTTAATATTTTATGATTACCATATCCATATTGCATTTAGATTACTTATTGGTTAGTAGAGGGTTCATATGTACGCGTCGACATAGATTTTTACACAAATCAAACGAGTTGTGTGCGGATTAGGTGCATTTAACACTAACACAACCTATTTAATATTTGTATTGTTGACTCATATTCGTATAAAAAAATAACTAACCATAATCCTATAATTACGTGTACGATTCGAGTTGTATTAATGAGTCATGTGTTAAATTTCCACCCTTACATAACAATAAAAGTAGGAATGGCCATTGTGTTGTGTTGTGTCATATCATCTCGAATTGACAAGTTGAAGATATGAACATGAACAAAACATGTTTAATAAACAAGTCATATATGTAAATACTAATTCGACCTGTCAATAATCGTGTGAACCTATAGACAACATAATTAATTCATGTACTTATTTAACATACATGATAAATATCATATGCACTCCCTAACCAGTTGAATCCTTCACCCTCATTGTTCCTCATCCTAGCCCCAACCATTCGACTTCCCCTTTCCCCTGTCCCCCACCATCATCCTCATGCTAACCTAGTCACTACCCATTCTCTAACACTGTCCTCCCTCCCATTGATTTAAACATAAGAATAAAAAATTAATTACAGAACCACCTTGCAATACTTAAAATAGGTGGGCAATTTTTTTTTCAACTTGGGTGAATTGACTGGATGTGACAATAGAATCCATTCTTTGTTGCATGAAATGAACCCATCTTGAACATAGCTCTTTTATTGATTTTTTTCAAAGTAACTATCATCAAGTATGAACCACACAAGAAAACAGCTAGAAGTTAAAAGAATAACAATCCAATAGCGTGACTGGTGAATGGAGTGGATGCTGGTTGTAGTGTGAGTGACAGGAGGAGAAAGAAAATGAGAGAACAGAAACTAAAACAAAAAAAATAAATAAATGGAAAAAGGGTAAAAATGTCATTAACCTCTTAAGTTTTATCTCACACATTCAATTTAGTGCGTGTGTAACAGAATCTGTTAATTTTAACAGAATTTGTTTGTTTTACATTTTAGTCCAAATTACAAGGGGGTCATATGTACATTTTTAAATTTCAAGAAGACAATATGTTTTCATACTATATCATAAGGAGGTAAAATGTAATTAACCCTAAATAAAAATATTGCTGCTTCTCCTTGTAGAACATCCCTCCCAAATTTCGTTCAATGATGTGAAATCCAAGTCAACAGGTTGTCTTTGAAAATTGGTTCTCGAATTTGGGTGCTGGCATTTCAAGACTACCAGTTTATCTTTTTGCTTTTGAGCATGAGCTAGCAGCCATAGTCTTTGGCCTTTGGATATGGTCTACAACACCATGAGTTTCTATCTATGTTGTTTAAGAAAATATAGGCTTTGTGTTGACTGAAAAAACTCTATCAAATGCAATCATATTTTCTCTTTTTCTTTTTCCACTCGTGTTGACTTTTACCATGTTCGATTTGCTGTTTTGGTATCTACTACTTTCATGGATTTGTATTTCTTTACTTTAAGCCTATGTTTGCATGAAGCATTTTTAACAAGAAATAGTTCATACTTTACTATTGGCTTTCCTACAAGTGAACATTAGAGTACACAAGTAATTTCTGAAAACTTGTAGAATTTCAACAATTCAATTTTTTTTATTTCTTATTATGGGCATGGCTACGCACTACAAGAAGATATATTTTTTGCAACCATTTTTACCGACTAAAAATATTTTGGACCCCAAAAGTTGTGGAATTGGTGACCAAAAATTGCGTTAGTCGGCAAAAGTATAATATTTAGCTACTAAATTTTTTTAGTGGGGGTATATTGATTATTGGCGACTAAAAGAAAATTTAGTCGCTAAAAATGTCACAATCGGTGACTAAAAAAAATATAGTCGCTAAATTTGCTACAATTGGCAACTAAAAAAATACTTTAGTTGTTGAATAGTTAGTTTTGGCTACTAAAATTATTTAGTCGCTGAATGAAAAACAAAAATTTACATTTTATCTTTAAAACCAAAAGTTTGGTCACCAAATATTTATTTTCAGCTACTAAAAAATATTTTAGTCGCTGTATAGTTAGTTTTGGCAACTAAAGTTATTTAGTCACCGAATGAAAAATAAAAATTTACTTTTTATCTTCGGCGTCGGCGACCAAAAGTTTGGTCGCCAAAAATTTATTTTCAGCGACTCAAAAATATTTTAGTCGCTGCATAGTTAGTTTTGGCAACTAAAATTATTTAGTCGCCGAATAAAAAATAAAAATTTACTATTTATCTTTGGCGACAAAAAGTTTGGTCTACAAAAAGTTATTTTTAGCGACTAAAAAATATTTTAGTCTTTGTATAGATAGTTTTGGCTACTAAAATTATTTAGTCACCGAATGAAAAACAAAAATTTACTTTTTATCTTTGGCGACCAAAGTTTGGTTGCCAAATATTTATTTTCAGCGACTAAAAAATATTTTTGTCGCTGTATAATTAGTTTTGACAACTAAAATTATTTAGTCGCTGGATGAAAAATAAAAATTTACTTTTTATCTTTAGCGACCAAAAGTTTGGTCGCCAAAAATTTATTTTCAACAACTAAATAAATTTTAGCCATTATATACTAACTTTTGCCGACTAAAAGAAATTCAGTCGCCAAATATCTAGTATAATTTGATTTTAATATTTGGTGACTGCCTCATTTGGTCAGAAAATATACATTTGTGGTGACCAAAACACATTTAGTCAGTATTATTTTATTTTTGACGATTAATTGAGTTTTATTCGTCAAAAATAATGTTTTGGACTACAAAAAGTAAAATTGGTCCCTAAATGTGCAATCTTTAACTACTAAAAATAATCTAATCAGTATTTATTTAATTTTTAGCTATTAAATTTTGGTCGCTAATTATAATTAAAAATTTTGGAGGCTGGACTTCAAATTTTGGAGGGATTTTGGAGGTATTTCAATCACGCAAATGAGTTAGGGCTTAGAAACAAAAGTTTCTCTCACTCTGTGACTCTCTGTCTCTCTCGCATTTGCCCTCCTCCGATTATCTCTCTCTCTCTCTCTCTCTCTCTCTCTCTCTCTCTCTCTCTCCTCAATTCCCTGTCACAGACCCAACCCCGTACCCCCTATTACTGTCTTCATTTTCTCTCTTCCTCACTCCCTCTCTCCGCCATTCCAATCTTCATCAACAGTGGTAGCCCCTAATTTCCTATTTCAGCCATAGGGGAGATTTTGAAAGGAGCCACTACAAAAAGGGAGATTTCACTAGACCACCACCGTCTCCAGGGAGATCGGTACTCGGTCGTCGTCAATATTCAAGGAGATCCGAAACAAGTATTTTAATTAGTTAAGTTCTTCGTTTTTCCCCCCTGAATCAGATCAATCTCTCTCTACCTGTGTATTTTGATTGTTTGGTTCAATTCCATAGATGTGACAAAAAGTTAGATTTTATGTATGAGTAACCTGATATATACACATATAGATATAGATATATATGTATTGTGGAGAATATGTATGCATACATTTCTATATATACACATATAGATATAAATATAGATATATTTCTGTACTGTGGGGAATATGTATTTATGAGCTCTCTATGCATTTGCACATTGTACAAACTCTCAGTTTGTCTAATATACATATTTCATCTTTTTGACTGATCTTGATTACCTTGATTGTGGATGAATTTGACGTGTGTGTGTACAATCTGTTTTCAAATGTTATAGATTGCCTAATTTTCAGATTGTAGTTACCAGTGGACTAAAAACACAGCTTTCTAATATAGCAGAGAACCTTTTAGTGTTTTTCCCTATTCAAACAAAATATCTATCAACTTTTTTTTCTCTGTAATTTCCATCTACATTTTCATGTTTACTTTGAGCTTACCTGAGCACAAATTTACATTGGTGAATAATCTCCCAAGTTTTTTGAATTAAGATGTACAAAGAAGCATTGAACTTTTAAAGTTTGATGAAGAATTTGGTTGATTCTTAATTTGTTGAAAGATAATTCTTTGTTGATTTAAGAGTAATGCTATTTGGGCCAAAAGTCAGTGAACTCACAGTAGTATTTATGTTATACATTTTATATTCTTATATTCTTAAGCTGCCAAAGCCATGTCTAGTCTATCCATGTTCCATGAAGGGGTAGACATGTACCTCAATTTGACACAATTTTGTGAATACTTTGGCTGCATTTTTTTTTTTTTTTTGTAACAGATACTCTGGCTGCATTTTTTTTCTCAACAGACTCTGGTTGCATTTTTAAAATTTTAATTTAATTTAATTTATTTTATTTTTATTTTTTATTTTTTTATACTTTGGTTGCATTTGTTCAAGCTATTGCAGTACACAACAAGATAGGTACAGAAATGGAAGAAGAATTGGGGTAACGAATTTCCTAATATCCTAAGTTGATTACCATACATTACATGCATTAAACCCCCAACTTCTTGTATAAATTTCAGGTGGATTATGAGGTTAATATATGTACTGGCAAATTGGAAACTTTAGACCGTTGTGGTAAAGTACATTTCATGTCTAATCTTTCCATGTTGTTGCAGTGGTCTCCATATTCAACAGAAGTAGAACTTCTGCAACAAGTAAGCCTCTACTTTGTTGTTATTTATTTATTTATATTAGCATACCATAAAGAATTGCACTCGATAGGAAATTTTGATAACCGCTTACTAAGCAAGACAATATTTTTCTGTGCAATATGCCCCAAAACAAGAGCCCCTATACACTTAGGGAGAGAAATCACATCCCAATTAATCAAATGGTTCTTTTCACTTCACTACTTCCTTCCCACTACATCCCACAAAAAATCTCTCATCAATTTCTCAATTTTATTTGCTGCACTCACTGGAACTCTAAATAGCAACATATAATTAAATTGGTGTTCTGGACTAAAGTTTGTCATATGATCTTATGGATTAAATCTTTATTTATCAAAAAAAAGAAAAGGAAAGATATCACTTGAAAGTTCTTTTTCTGGTCTTTCAACAGCTCCATGGGGAAAGGACTTCTCTTTTGTAATATTTAATTAACTGAACAAGAGATTCGTAGTGAACTTGATGCAAACTTTAACTGGCAATACACTAGACCAAACAACCTTGCAGTCACAAAAGCACATCTGCACATGCAAGAGACTGAGACTTTGTAGTTGTACGAGACCAATCGAGACTAATGTTTTGGCAAGAGAGTGAAGATTAATGGACAAAGTCAATGAAGTTGATTCCTTGATGCAGGCCTTATGGCCTTTGAACTAGGAGTGATCTGGGACTATAATTGAATCTTCAAATTCAGCTATTGATCTCTCCATTTGTCTTTATATTTTTGGTGACTTAAGTTCTTCTTGGCAATTTGATCAAATCCAAAACTTTGTTCTGAAAAGATTTGAGGAGTTGCCATGGACATCGAGCTTTTATTGAGAAACAGGATAGCAACCATTGCAATGCATTGTAATGGCAAATGTAAAGACAAATGGAATATATTGTGTGCATATGTAAATGCAATGAATGTGCATGTGTGCCTCTTGATTTTGACATTGATTTATGGAATATAGTGTAAGACAATTCCTTGGATGGTTCTGCTGTATTGGTAGCATAAATATTTAATTTAATTAATTAATTTATTTTTTGATAACCGGGTATCCGGTCCAGCTTATGCGCTCCTCGACTAATCTCGGGGCCTTGAAGTTAATGGTCGGGCAAAATATTAAATAGCAATCATTTCTTTTGATTACTCAATGTCGGCTGTTGACAAGGAGGTGTTGTCTCATGATGCTTTAACTCCAACCAACTTCCTCGATTATTGTTCTTTAATCAATCTGATGTTAATAAATTTTATATTTAACTGCAGTTGTAGCCAAACAGTGAAAAGGCAGATGACTGTATCTAATGCAAAGCTTTCTGTGTGAGTTCCTTATTTATCAAAAATAGTTGTATAATTGTATTAATCGCTTCTACAAAAATTATCCGAAAGAAAAATATGTGAACAGCGCATAAGTTTGTGCCATTCTTTCCATTATGATTTTTTTACCTTTCCATCCTCGTATTGTATAGGTATTTTGAAGCAGTTGAAGCAAGATTTCTTCATGCACCATTTAGTGCATTCGTGGATGTTCTTACGCTAGCCACAAAAACAGTTGAAGAATTTGGTTAAGGAATGGAATTATGATGCCCTTTGTAGTACAGTCTGATTATTGTAGTTGGTTTTTCTAGCTATTCAGTTGTAATGTAACTTTATTTAGCATTTTTCATATCATTTTTGGTTGCCCATTCTTTTTCTTTTTTCTTTTTTTACACAAACGGTTGTACCTTAAATTTCATAAACTTTTTTAGTCATTGTTGTTGAATGGAAGAGTTGTGTTTACTGTTTATGATTCACTTGATTTTGTTGGTTTGAATGATTCTTGCAAAGCATAGGTTATATTAAATGGTTTGGATGGATTATTATATATCATACAGGTCAAATGAAATTCTTTTTATATTTTATTTCTATTTTGATAGACAAAAAAAATTGAATTGGCGACCAAAATTTGGTTTGGTTTTTCTTCTTTTGGCAATCAAGTGATTAGTCAGTGTTTCACTATTCACATTTAGCGACCAAAATGTTGGTAGGGGAAAGGGTACATTTGACGACTAAATAATTAGTCGGTAAACTTATTAATTTTGGCAACCAAAGTAATTGGTCGAGAATAGTTCTATTGCCGACTAAAGTTTTAGTCGCGCAAACATTACTTTTGGCGACTAACATTTTTGGTCGGGGAATGTGACAATTTGCGACTAACATATTTAGTCGGAAAAATATCACTTTTGGCAACTAAAGTGTTTTAGCTACAAAATGGATTAGTCACGGTAATTATATATTTAGCGACCAAAAATTTAGTCAGTAAATAGAACTTTTTCCCGATTAAAAATTTTTTTAGTCGCTAATTACTTTTCCTGACCCTCAATTGGCAACCAAAAAAATTAGTTGCGGATAACTTTTGCCGACCAAAAATAACCTTTTGCCGACTAAATTTTTGGTCGGCAAAAGTGCGATTTCCTGTAGTGACGCCACTAGTAATATGAGAGTCAAATGTCAGATAACAAGCCGGGGATGCTAAAAAACACATATAATTATGATATTTATTAGGGGTGCAACTCGGGCGGGTTCGGTCGGGTTGGGGGTCTGCCTAAGCCCGACCCGAATTGTATTTGGCACTGCCCAAGCCCGCCCAAGCCCGACCATGAACCCGAACATTGTTGCCCAAGCCCGGCCCAAGCTTTGTATTTTGAACTCGGGTTGCCCGAATTGCCCGAGTTCAGAAACCTGTAGGTAGATCTAAGGGTAGACATAAAAGATGCTAATCTAATGGTAGAAAACTAACCAAAAAAAAATAAAAAATAAAAATTAAGACTAACTCTTTTACTTAATAGAAGACTAACCAAAAATAAATAAATAAATAAAAATTAAGACTAACTCTTTTATTTAATAGAAGACTAACCAAAAATAAATAAATAAATAAAAATTAAGACTAACTCTTTTATTTAATAGAAGACTAACCAAAAATAAATAAATAAATAAAAATTAAGACTAACTCTTTTATTTAATAGAAGACTAACCAAAAATAAATAAATAAATAAAAATTAAGACTAACTCTTTTATTTAATAGAAGACTAACCAAAAAAAAAAATAAAATAAAAATTAAGACTAACTCTTTTACTTAATTTATATATATTACATAATTTATTAAATTATATATATATTATATATTATATATTATATAATTTATATAATATATTAAATTGAATTCGGGTTCGGGTTGCTCGGGTTGGCCATTGGTTCTGCCCAAGCCCGGCCCGAATTGCAATTCGGGCATCAAAAATCTGCCCAAGCCCGTCCAGATTACAAGATATAGTTGCCCAAGTCCTAAAAAAACTCGGGCTGGGCTCGGGTTGCTCGGGTTGAGCCCGCCCGAGTTGCACCCCTAATATTTATTAGAGTAAATTATATTGGCTTTGCATGAAATTTAGAGAAAATTAGTAAAATCTATAGTTTTAGTATAATTATACTTTTTTTTTATAATAATGTTAAAAAAAATTAAAACTAATGTAATTGATGTAAAAATATAAAAGTAAACAAAAATAAAATATATAACGACATCATTTTTAGTCATATGTTTAATGAATTACGCTCTCTACTATTCTCACATCACCCAAACCGTGGTTGTACCAAATCGTGATATTCGGTAGTCTAGGAGTATGGTCTCATAGTGTTCTATGATAATATGATTGGTAGAGAAAGTAGAGTATTAATTATTTGTATTAGATGATTGAGAAATATGAGGAGACATAATGAATGATGATTAATGAGGGAGTATGGCCACATGATATTTCGAGATTATTGTATAATTTTCCACCAATCATGTGACAACCCTCACCACTGATTACTGCTAAACTGTGACTGAACATGATTAAGTAACTGATTTGACTGACATTCTGAACTGATTGATTGAGTGTATTAGTTTAAACGCATTTCTATCTGTTTGACTGTTAATTGATTTGTTCATGTTTTAAGTTTGAACTGTAAATTGAAGGCCTTATCGGCGGTCGAATCTGAAATCGATTAATGGTTTATGCTAATTAGAATTTATATGATTTTATGGTAGATTTGATTGAAATGTGATTTAGAATGATTAAATTAGATTAAATAATGGTAAATTACATTAGTTGGCTTATTTACCAAAATGCCATAGAAGTGGGCCACTTTGTGAAGTCTTGTTAAAGCTTATGTGTTGCATCATTTTGTTCATTCTTGAGACCAAAACCGTTTGAGAGAGGGAGAGTAGGAGGAAAGACTTGAGTTCATCAAATTGGCTTGGAGAATTAGAAGATTTGGAGGATAATTGCCCAAATTGAGGTAGGAGAATCATCTTGAGGTTGTTTTCATGCATGCATGTACATGTTCTAGCATTTTGAGGTTGTTTTCATGGAAATTGCTACATGCATGTCCATATCTTGATTATAGTTCATGAATTCATCATGTTTTTGGAAGTTTTGACTCATTTGATTACGTATTGGAAGCTTTGATTTCAATTGAACACATGCATGTTACATACACTTTATGTTCTTGAAGTTTATTTGAAATTGTGTTTAATTGACTCACCTTTAGGCTTTGATTTTGCAAATTGATCTTCAAAACATGCCATATTATGAGTTTTAAAGTGTTTTCCAGAAAATTGGCCCAAAGGAATCGAATTTGATGCTTTAAATGTTGAGTTTTGTGCTTGGAGACAAATCTGGAAATTCCAGATTTTGGATCCACGCTCGAGCGGGGAACTCCACGCTCGAGCGTACACTCTGAGTACATGCATCCCGCTCGAGCGGGGAAAGTAGCGCTCGAGCGTGAAATGCGTGTATCCAGTACTTTTCATATGTTTACAGTCCGCTCGAGCGAGGAAATGCACGCTCGAGCGAGGACTTATGTCTCACGCTCGAGCGGAGGTCGAGCGCCCATCGAGCGTGAATTGCATGCATCCAGTACTTTTGCCTATGTTTGCAATCCGCTCGAGCGAGGAAAGTCCTACTCGAGCAGAGCTCCTTTATCTGCATGTCCGCTCGAGCGTAGAAAGCCACGCTCGAGCGTGGACCCCTGTTTCAGCAAATTTTGAAAAGTGTTTTAAAGTGCATCTTTGCACCCTCTTTCCATCCTAGGCATTCCTAGGGCATGTTTAAGGCATTTTAATGAGGATATTGATGTAGGACCACACCGAGACAAGTTAGGGACTAAGTCATTGATTCCCAAGTGTGTAACTTAGTGTGTGTTCATTCTGTAACTGTGTAGGGTTGGCATCCGAGGACGCTCATTAGCCGCTTATAGCCTAGTGTTCTGTGAGTAACAATATTGTAAAGATATATTTAATCATGAATATTTTCTGAATGATCAACTGTACTGCTTTCTAAAATGATATTTCTTACTGAATGAATGCTTGTCCTATTTGTGAACTGTATTCGTGGCATCCATAGCAATTTATTGTTACTGTACTGTACTGCTACTGTCACAAAGATCTCATTCGGTTCCCATGTTTGGAACCACTACTGTTTACTGATATGATGGCCATCAACTGACTGTTCGGTCTGTTAAGACCTACTGTACTGTTTGCTATTGGATGTACCACTTATGACTGCGATGATCGAATAACTGATATACTGTTCAAATGACTGTTTTAAATACTGAAAGGACATTCATTCCTAACCGCTTTACGCATATGTTATTCACTGGGTTTTAGCTCACTGTTTAAATATATATGTAGGTGTCCAGGCACCGGATCGGAACTAGGAGCGTTAGATTAAACTCCCTTTTTGTCAAGCCAACCAACGTGTCTCACTGCGAGGTTCCAAATGTATTCAAGCTTAGGCTCGTTTGGGGTGTCTCAGTTCACCCTTCTATCTCTGTTTTGTAATACTGTATAGACTTGTACTGTACTGTTATGGTAGGGATTTGGTCCCTAACCTGAATGCCTGTATATGATGTATGTACATATTGCTTTTGTTCCGAATGTGAATGCGTTATGTAAAGTCTTTTTGCATACAGACTGTCACAGCTCATTGGACATCTTTCATTTACTGTTTTGGCTTCCGCCAGCCCCTGTACTCTGAATTACTGTTATTACTGTTAAGCAGGCCTTCGATAATCACGGATTACTGGCCAATTACGGTGCTAAACCCATAGGAGCGGGTTTGGGTCGTGACAAATCACAATACTCACCATAACTTCTTGAGACGAAATAGTTGACTCCACTCCCTCCACCAATCACAATCACCCAACACCAAATTGACATGGCTCCCTATTGTTTTCCCATCACCTAATACCAAATCGAGAGTCGCACTTTCTCTACCAATTACAATACTCCCCAAAACCATTAAATAACTTCTCAATCTCCTCTATACCTATATAGGGTATAAGAACATCTCTAAGAAAGGAGACAAAAGATCATATTGAGGCATTTTTGCTAGTGCAACTGATTTTCTTCTCCTCTAAGGGACTCTGCATTAGAAGAGGTGAAATGCTTATTTTTATTTGGCTTGCCACATCTAGTTAGTCTTCATTGAGAGGTAAAAGGATTCCTTGCTGAAGTTGGCCCCTTCAAATCATGAACAGAATTCAAATCATGAAGTGTCATATATAGAACCAACATCATACATCAACACTTTTTCTTCCATACAACAGCTAATTATACACTCCAGTCATTACTCCCTAACAACTTTCTTCCATACAATAGCTAATCATACATTCCAGTCATTACACCCTAACAAAATGTGAAAAGAAGAGAGCTTTCTTCTCCACTATCATCAAAAAAATCCCAGTTGAAGCTGCTCTTTATAAGTAGAGAGATTTGAAG